TCAAAGGAAATTATCCAAGAATTCACTTTTCACATAAACTTTTAGTGAACTCCAATGTGACAATTCCAACAGCCCTTATAAACATATGTATATTTAAATTTTAAATGTACATAAATAAAAGTCCTGATTTTTTCAATGACTCCAAGAGAATAAAAAACCACACAAACATATTTAAAATACACTGCTTACCAAGATAAAAATATGTATTAAATACGATTCTACTACATATCTAATTAGACATTTGAAGCATTAATACCAAATTTATAAAAACCCATTACTTACAGAAGTGCAACTTTTGTGGACTGCTGGAGCATGTTTTTAAATCAAGTCAAATTCTATATCAGAGAAAACAAACTGAAGAAATGTTTCTTACCAACAGCACTATATCCAGTCTTCCCAATTCCTGATATTGGCAGGGCTTTCAAAAGCTGGTTCTTAATAATAATAATAGAACTAAGTATAAAAATTTAATTTTATGCCAAATATTTCTGTTTTGGTTCTGTTTGAACTACTTCCAAATGATTAAGATATTAAAATTTAGAATTTTGCAATTCACCAATTTTTAATAGGTTTCAGAAGATAGCACTTCTGCCATCTGTCACTGGTAGAGCTCCTATTATTTGAACAGATCCTAGCTAGTTGGTTCAGTGACGTTCCAATTCGAGAGTGCATGCCTGAGTCTTGATGTTATCTAAATAGCAAGGAGCTTATAGGCTATTGTGCTTAACCAAACCCTTCCTTGAATTTATAATAAACTTGATTTGCTGTGTGAGTGAAAAAAAAAAAAAAGGCAGTATGGGACAAAGTAAAGCTACTGGAAATAGATCTCACTAAATTTAATATAATGCTAATTTTTAAAAGTTTACTTATTTTTGCACATTATGTAATTACTACCAACAATTAAAGTATACTATTTATACTATGCCGCGCTAAAAGTTGTCAGATTCCATTTCCTAAAACAAGATGAGTTGTTTTCAGACACAGAAATCTCCAAACCTCAAAAATATATTTACTTCAAACCTAAGTTTCTCATGGGCTGTAACAACATTATAAGAGTGAGTGTGTAGAGTGTTAGATTTTTTTAAGGATACTCCAAATATGTGCCTAGAATTCCAGAGTAGGTAATTTCACAAAGTGATTTGAAGAATGACCTGTAATCAAGCAAAAGTTCAAGCAAAGCAATTTTGAATAATACATTTGTAATTCAATTTTTTCCTTCAGTCAGCATTTGCCATCTTCACCAGTACTAACGTAAAAAAACTAAAATTAAAAATGCATTATTCACCGAGGCGGGCAGACTGCCTGAGGTCAGGAGTTCGAGACCAGCCTGGCCAACGTGGTGAAACCCCATCTCTATTAAAAATACAAAAATTAGCCAGGGAAGACGGTGCACGCCTGCAATCCCAGCTACTCGGGAGGGCTGAGGCAGGAGAATCATTTGAACCAGGAGGTGAAGGTTGCAGTGAGCCAAGGTCGTGCCACTGCACTCCAGCCTGTGTGACAGACCAAGACTCCATCACNTAAAAAAAAAAAAAAAGGCATTATAAGGGCAAGTGAGGAAATAGACTTATATGGTGACTCTGTGTTGCCTCACTAGAAAGCCATAAAGAAGCTTTAGTGTGAAAATTAAATGAGATAATATGTGTAAAATTGCTGTAAGCCTCAAATATTATAAGCCTTCAAGAAGTAAAAAAAAAGGCATTATTCAAAATTCACAGCTGGGTGCAGTGGCTCATGCCTATAATCCCAGCACTGCGAGGCGCCAGGCAAGGAGGATCACATGAGGCCAGGAGTTCAACACCAGCCTGGCCAACATGATGAAACCCCATCTCTACTAAAAATACAAAAATTAGCCAAGAGTGGTGGTACATATCTGTAATCCCAGCTACTCAGGACGCTGAGGCAGGAGAATCACTCGAACCCAGGAGGCGGAGGGTTGCAGCAAGCCGCAATCACACCACTGCACTCCAGACTGGGGGACAGAGTGAGACTCTGTCTCAAAACAAAACAAAACAAAAAACAATATTCACAAAACTAAATAAGTATAAAGGAAATTCAAGTAACTGAATTTCTCAATAGTGTTTAAATTTATAACATATGTAATTCTGTAGTTTTAAAAATTAAAGCTGCAATGAGACGTCTGTGACACCTTGTATTGTTGAATGAGAGAAGGGATTATTCTCCCACTTTGTTTTGTAGCCCTAGGTTATTTTTTTCTGAGAATTAAACAGACCTACCAACCTTAAATAAAGATCTGATAAACCCATCTTTAAGGGCCATACAAGCCAAGAGTGCTTTAATGATCTTGAAATATAAACAGTGCATTCTAAATATTATTTTCAAACTTGTAAAATCTACAGTAACTGACCTTACACAGTTCAAAATCAGTTCTACTTTTTGCTGTTTAAATAAAATATGCCCCAATACATTTAAAGCCCTAACTCTACCCACTAAACAATTTCAATTTTAATACCTATACAAATACATGTAAAAAGAATTGTTTAAAAGCCAGAATCATCCAACTGTAATAACCAAATTGTGACAATTCTTTATGAGGCAAAACTTAAAACTTCTAGTCAGCTCCTAAAAATAAGAATGACATAATATAATTTAATGAATACGTGGAAATTTTACAAGGATACCAGCTAAATTTTAACAAAGCTCTACTCAATACCCAGTTTATCACTTCCCATCTTGGACTTTCTCTTATAATATGCTTTTGTTTCTGTGTTTAGGCTTAAGAAAGACCATTGTATCCAACATACACCAAACTAAGACTGTATTTACATTTGTAAAGTGGAGTCTTTGCATAATTATACTTTTTTTGTATGTTACAAAACAATGTCATAGCTAGAACAAAATAAGTTATAATTAGGAAAGATAACATAATTACCTGTATTAGGATCAATACGAAGAACAAGTTTAGCCTGCAGAACAAGTTTAGCCTGCACGATACCATTCATTCTTGCATAGGTACTTTACCACTTTAATTATATGTACTATTCAAAAATCAAAATCAACCCTTTTATTCAGAGAAACCCCACATGGTTTTGTCTAATTGTATAGTATTTAGCAAAAAGGGGGAAGTTACCTTTGGACTAACAAATGATATGTACTTTTTAATCTCTCTCTTTATAAAAAATTGTATAAAATATCATTTATATGCAACGTAATAAAACAGTCTGCATTCTTAAAATATCCACTTATGTCATTGAGAGATTTTCTATTTCAATCATTCAAGCTACTTTGGTCTTAAAACTTTCATCCCTTCCCCTAAATTGTTCTCAAGTATGTAACTTTTGAAAACTCCACATTCAAGGTTAAGAGTTATAAGGCTCTTATGATTGCTACATAGATTCAAAACATTACTATCTATGATGAAAAATGCTGCAGCAGGCAATAGGAAATAGTGATAAGACCCCGACTGAATACTCAAAACTGGCAGAACCAAAATGGCCTAGAGAGAAAACTGACACCTATCCCTAAGATAATCAAAAGGCTGAATATATCAATAAATTGGTGACAGTGGCTGCCTCTAGGCTAGGTGGGAGTGAGGAAGAGACACTAGTGTCTTTGGAATGCCTTTACCAGAAGGAAGTCTGAATAGTTGATTGAACACATGCATAAACTTCTAATTCTATAATGCATGGGCAACCCTGGGTTTAAACTTGTAGGAATCTCTGAAATACACCATGGTGCTTGCTCTATCAGACCATTCTCTTTGCTTGGAACTTACCCCAGATAAAGAGAAAGTTGTCAGTCTGAAGTCCCCTTTAACAAATGTTTCTATTAATTAGATTTATTTCTATCTCCTCTACATTTTGGCCCGGCTGAAAAAGTATGAGCCTATAATACAGCATAAGTAGCAGCAAATTCTTAAAAAAAAAAAAAAAAATTGAGACAGCATCTTATCTGTCACCCAGGCCGGAATGTAGTGGGCACAACCTCAGCTCACTGCAACCTCCACTTCCCGGTTCAAGCAATCCTCTCGCCTCGGCCTCCTGAGTAGCTGGAACCACAGGTGTGTACCATCATGCCCAACAAATTAGTTGTATTTTTATAGAGACGGGGTTTCAACATGTTGCCCAGAACGGTCTCAAACTCCTGGACTCAAGCAATCTGCCCATCTCAGCCTTCCAAAGTGCTGGGATTACAGGCATGAGCCACTGCACCCAGCCCTAAATTAGTTTTATCAAACTAATTCATCTAAGTATTAAGTGTGCATCTTATGCCAGGTTCTTTATTAGAACAGTAGGATTTACAATTTCATCCCCAAAACAAACAAAAACAAATGAAAAGAACACAGCACAAGAGTCAACTTTAGATGCAGTGACTGGCTTTGTCAAGCAAAAGTGTGGTGGCTTTCAGGTTGCTGGAGATGACTGGCAATTTGCAGTATCTTTGAATTCGCTAACAGGTCAAAATACAAATCTTTGTGAAGACCCTGACCGTCACCCTGGAGGATAAGCCCAGTGACACCACTGAGAATATGAAGGCCAAGATTCAGGGTAAAGAAAGTATGCCCCCTGACTAGGAGAGGCTCATTTCTACAGGCAACCAGCTGGAAGATCACACGTCTTCTGATTACAACATCCAGAGGCAACCCTGCACCTCGACTCCATCTGAGGAATGGCTGTCAATTATTCAGTCTTGTATTCACAGTGCCCAATAATGGCATTACTCTGCACTATAGCCACTTGCCCCAATTTAAATTTAGAAATGACCGGTTTCAGTAATAGCTGAACCTGTTCCAAATATTCATAAAGGTTCTGTTGTGGGTGACGGCGGTGTCGGTGGTGGCAGTGGATGGGGTGGCTGGGCCCGGAACAGCAGGAGCAGCTGCTAGCAGAAGGATGACCCAAGACAGGAATCGAGCTGCTGAGCCTCGCTGATTCCTGTACTTGTAACTGCCCCAGCCGGACTCCCCCTCCTTGACCCATTGGGTCTGTGTCTCATTCAGGCTCAGTCTGCCCCCCACTCCTCAGCCGGTTTCCCCTAAGAACGGGCCTGACCCCTTTCCCAAGCTCTTAGCGCTCAGGTCTTTTCCTTCCACTGACCCGAAGTCATCGCCGGGAATACTGGTTGTCCTCTCCTCAGAAGACACACCTTTGCCATGTAAACTTTAACTTTTCTCAGTCCTTCAGTGAATCTACAGACCTGTTTTCTCAGGAGCTCAGCCTGGCCTTACTTCAGTGATAAAAGGAGGAAAGGCTGGCTACAGCAAACATCATTCAAGATGTCCAGCAAAGGGGGCAGCACAGATGGCAGAACAGACTTAGCTAATGGAAGCCTGACCAGCAGTCCAGAGGAGATGTCTGGAGCTGAAGAGGGGAGGGAGACATCCTCAGGCATTGAAGTGGAGGCCTCAGACCTGAGTGTGAGAGTTTGGGGATGATGGTGGCCCCAACGGCACCAGCACAGAAAGTCAAGGCACAGACACAGAGAGCTCAGGGGAAGATAAGGACTCTGACAACATGGAGGACACCGGTCATTACTCCATTAATGAAGAAAATCAAGTCCATGACTGCTCAGAGGAAGAGGAGGAAGAAGAGCAGCCTTGGCACGGTATACAGAGCAAGCAGGCTAACCATGACCAGGATTCATCAGATGATGAGTGTGCCCTAGAGGACTGGGTGTCCTCAGAAACATCAGCTCTACCCCGACCTTGCTAGCAAGCCCTCCCTGCCCTTGGGAGCGGGAGCTGGGTTCAAGTGCCCGCTTTGTCTGTAAGGCCTGTGGGGCAAGAGTCTTTGTGCAGTGTTTCCACCTGCAGCATAGGCTTAAGGGCCACACTGGTTGTGTCAATACCCTGCACTTTAACCAGCGTGGCACCTGGCTGGCCAGTGGCAGCGATGACCCGAAGGTGGTGGTGTGAGATTGGGTGTGGCGGCCGCCAGTACTGGACTTTGAGAATGGCCGCAAAAGTAATGTGTTCCAGGCCAAGTTTCTTCCTAATAGCGGTGATTCCACTCTGGCCATATGTGCCTGTGACAGGCAGGTTTGGGTAGCAGAATTGTCTGCCACACAGTGTTGCAAGAATACGAAATGTGTGGCCCAGCACAAGGGAGCGTCTCACAAGTTGTCTCTGGAACCAGACTCTCCCTGTATGTTCTTATCTGCAGGTAAAGATGCAGTTGTTTTCACCATTGACCTGAGACAAGACCCCCAGCTTCGAAACTGGTAGTAACAAAAGAGAAAGAGAAGAGTGAGGCTGTATACAATCTATGTGAATCCTGCCAATACCCACCAGTTTGCAGTGGGCGGACGAGATCTGTGTGTAAGGATTTATGACCAGAGGAAAATTGACGAGAATGAGAACAATGGAGTCCTCAAAAGTTCTGCCCTCATCACCTGGTGAACAGTGAGTCCAAAGCAAACATCACCTGTCTTGTGTACAGCCGCGATGGCACAGAGCTCCTGATCAGTTACAATGATGAAGACATTTACCTCTTAAACTTCTCTCACAGTGATGGGGCCCAGTATGTTAAGAGATATAAGGGCCACAGAAATAATACCACAGTAAAAGGCATCAATTTCTATGGCCCCAAGAGTGAGTTTGTGGTGAGCAGTAGTGACAGTGGGCACATCTTCCTCTGGGAGAAATCATCCTGCCAGATTATTCAGTTCATGGAGGGGGACAAGGGAGGCGTGGTAAACTGTCTTGAGCCCCACCCTCACCTGCCTGTACTGGCAACCAGTGGCCTAGGCCACGATGTGAAGATCTGGCCACCCATGACTGAAGCTTCCACTGAGCTGACAGGGTTAAAAGATGTGATTAAGGCCGGGTGCAGTGGTTCACGCCTGTAATCCCAGCACTTTGGGAGGCTAAGGTGGGCGGATCATGAGGTCAAGAGATCAAGACCATCCTGGCCAACATGGTGAAACCCCATCTCTACTAAAAGTAAATACAAAAATTAGCTGGGCGTGGTGGCGTGCGCCTGTAGTCCCAGCTACTCGGGAGGCTGAGGCAGGAGAATTGCTTGAAACCAGGAGGCAGAGGTTGCAGTGAGC